GGCGGTGCGCGCTGGGTCCGCCCCGCGGCGAGGCCGTTTCCAGGCTTTGTCGGTTCCCGGCTGCTTGAACTCGCTTTATTTTTTTTCCCCCTTTCTCTGCCCCCGAAGAGATTTTTTTTCCTCCCATAATGTCCTGATTCCCTGCTCCTGCTTTAAAACACCCTCCGGCCATACCTTTCCCCGCTGCAGTCCCTTTTCCCTGTTCTGTGTGTTAAGGCTGAAAAATCAATCGTAAGAATGGCTTGATTTTTCAGATCCTCACAGCAGGGAGCAGACAGTGGGGATGGCAGTCCCAGCAGTGCGGCGGCAGAGACACCCTCCAGCGAAGACTTCAGGTAAAGGCAATCTGCAGAACAGCATGATCGCCGGTAACACCCCGTTTTGAAGTCTTTGCCATATTGCTGTTAGGTGAATAGTAAGCAAGTACATTGAAGTCCCTTCGGAGCAGAAACCTCTGTGAAAGCATACTGAAGTCCCCTGGGTGCTTTTTCTGGAATACCTAGGGAATGGACACACAACTACAGAGCTCAAATAACGTATTAAACATAAACTATCACCTTTCAGTTTGAACTCTGTTTTCTTTGCTACTAATACTTGACATTTCTGTATTGACTTAGGTCTCCATGTAGATAATAGATAATTAAAATGTATTAGACAATTTTAAATGGACATCTTATCTTTCTACAGGCTCCGTAATGGAGTTGTTGCTCTGTATTACAACTATGGAAACATAGGAACAAAGAGGGGCAGTGACTTGTTCACAGCTGCTGAGGGAGTTCAGCATCAGCTGACACCACAACTCCAGACTTCTGGTCTAGTGGGCAAACCACTGAATGCGTTTCTGATGGGCCAGAAGTCACAGAGCGAGTTAGCTGTAAGCCAGAGAGAGATCACAGTGGTCCCCCTTCTAGAAGCAGGTGGTTCTGCACCTGTTCAGAGATACAAAACAATAATTTTTGCTTTTTGCTAACGATTTCTTCTTGTTTTTTAAAGCCTCTCCTTGCTGGACACTAACTTACCAACTGAAGCGGAGACTGAATTGCGCAGTTTTATCGCTAAGCGTCTTACTAAAGGAGCCCTGTTTGAAGGAATGGGGAATGTAGCGTCAGTGGGGCTGAGGTAAATTTAAAAAATTATTTGTGAATGAGAAACTGTAAGAAACATTGGCAGCATTGCACATCTTGCCATCTGCTGCTGCACTCTAGGTTTAATCCTGATTCCATGTTCTCAGTCTATTGCTGCTGTTAATAACAGCTTTACGCAATGGCACTTTCCTCTTTTTCTAGGTAGCTTTGAGAAAAATATTGTAGTAAATAATTTACTGTTTGAATATTTAAATGTGTTTATGACTATTTCCTTTTAAACTACTCTGGTCGCACCACAGAGGAAAAAAGAGAAGGTCTAAGAGCTCTATGTATGACCATAGGAGCTAGCGGGTGAATATTCTTTACAGAAATCACGGATGCCTGCTTTTTGCACTTATTTATTGTGATGTATCTGTAACAAAATAATTCTTTTTTTTTCTGCGTAGCATACCAGAATATAAAGTTGGTTGTTATTACTGTCGTTTCCAACAAGAAAATCTTCTAGAAATGGCAACACTGGAATCGGACATCAATGCTCCAGAATATGTGGTTTGTTTCTTAGGTGGCTCAGAGAAAGGTCTGGAACTATATCCTTACCTTTAACTTTCTTTATCTGTGTGGAGAGGGGAGATGATGTAAAAATTATATTCTCATTTTGTGTTTCCTACTTGAAATCAGCTCATTTGTACACACCTTCCAGTAACTGAAAATGTCATTAACAGCCATATACTGAAAGGGAAAAATGCAGATCTTAACCGATGCATCTTATTTTCCTTAAGAAGATACTTTCAGACTTGAGCTGGACAAATATGTTCAAAGTCTGAAGATAAACCTTAATTTGGAGGTAAGGCCTAATTTTTTTTTAAAGTGGTGAAAATTGCTGTTTATGCAAATTAATTACTAAGGCAATCTGGAAGATTTATTCTATAGAGACAAAATAGGCATTTTAGGTACCAGTATGAAACACTTGTGAGAGATACTTGATTCACTGTAGGGACAGTGAATGTCTAAAGTGCTAGCAACCACAAGGCAAAAGGGGAAAAAAAAGGGGGGGGACGGGACACAACTCTTTTGTGCCAGTCATAAATCTCTTAAAGGTTATTTGCAGTTAGATTCAGAGAGAAGAATGACTAATGAAAGATAATGGTCTACAGGAATGTTATCGATGTCCACCTGGATTCTTATCACTTCTGAATGCTAAGGAAGGATTTTTGGTGGTTTTCTTGTCACCATTTTTCTAATGGAAGCTATGCAGTTTAAGTCTTTCTCATCCTGTCTGCTGTTGCATGGGTTTTGCTCAGTACATACCATAATATTACGGTTCTATTTCTTAAAATGCAAAGCCCTTCGTTGCTGATAAAGTGTGGCTTTAAATGTCAAACTCATTATTTTAGTTTACTGTGGTTTGGAATTAAGAAGGCTCTGACATCCAACTATCTTAGCTTGAATAGATTATTAATAGGCTTCTATTTCTGTAGAAATCTAATTTGTAGTTGAAGTAGTAATGTTTCAACTCGTTACAGCAAAAAACCTTGGAGACCTATATTAACCCCTACTTGAGAAGCTGGTTTGAGAATGCCATATGCCCTATTCAGAGAGTAGTACAGCTCTTCCAGGAGAAACTCGCCTTTCTGTTACATGCTGTAAGTGTATTTCAAACTGGATAACTGAAAGAGGTTCAGAAGGAATCTCAGTGACTCCAACATGTTTAAAATGTTTCTTGCATTTGCTTTCCCAGCCAGGCGAAAATGAGGAACAACTTTTTTCTTCTCTCTCTCTCTCTCTTTTTTTTTTTTTTTTTTTTTTTAAATTCAGGGCAAGTTCTTTTTCCCTGCTCTGCTGCTAAGGAAGCACATAGCAATTTCTTCTATCAATTTTTATAGTTAACTCATTTAAAATTACATAGTAGTGTCCAAGTTGAAATTAGAATGAGAAAATTAGAAACAGCATGAGAAAGCTGTCCCTGCTATAATTCCTCTGAACCAAAGGAATGTTATATTGCGTATCTGCCTCATGTAATTCACTGGGAACAGAAAAGAAATTAACCCTAGCTCTTGTCCCTGAGTTTGAGGAGGCTTTGGATGGAATAACTAATAGAGTATAGCTGCTGTATTTCTTCTGAATGCAAAACCAGCTGCAATGACTATAATATGGAGTATTGCCTTCACTTCTACTCTTTCTCTGAAAAGAACAGTTTTTAAAGTACCACATTATGTATTTATTGCTAGTAACTGCAATATAGCAACAGTAGTAATATCAAAGTTGCATCTAGCTTTTTTTCATCTTTTTGTTTGCTTTAAGGCTTTGAGTTATACTCCTGTGGAAGTAAAAAACGCGGATGAAAGAACAGAAAAAGACATTAGCAGGTAAAGATACTTTGAGACCAAGGAACCTGTGAGTAACTTGGCTTTTGTGTATGACAGCCTCCTGTTTTGCTGTTCAGGAATTGTAAAGAAGCAAGCAGTTCACAAGAGCTTTTTGTGTCAGGTTTCTGGCAGCTGCCAGCCTCCAAGGACTTGTTCAGGAAGGCACGATGACCTCCTTGTGTATTGCCATGACTGAGGAACAGCACAAGTCAATGATTATAGACTGTAGTGGACCTCAGCCTCAGTTGCATAATGCAGGTGAGATTACAGCTGTGAATACTTCTTCGTGTTACTCACTTGTATCTGTGAGCTGCTGAGAGTTGTGGATGTTAGAGGTAGTTGAGGATATTCAGAAGCTCATAGGTTAGTGCCCAGAAAGTTTGGGTTCTGGCTGGAAACTACACCACCTGTTTTCCTGTGAGGTAGCAAAGTAGTTTGTTTTACCAGATGCACTGGAATTCTGGTTTGAAAATGGTAGATAATAAAATCCACAATGCATTTAGTTTGCAGACCATGAAACTAGGACTTGTACACTTCAGGGAAGCCACAAAACTTTTTTTTTCCCTGTGTATTTTTGACAAGTGTTGTGAAAAGGGATTCAACAATCGGAACAGAATTTCATGTGATCACTGTAGCTATGTTTACTTTTCTTTTCCACGTGTATTGTTTTTCTTAAGACTTATTTCCTGGCCCAGGTATACTATTACCAGTTGTTATGTGAGAGTGATTAAACTAGGTAAATGCAGCTGTCTATTTATGTTGAGCTCATTTACTTTTTCTCATCTCTTCTCTCTGTTCCTGAACACGTAACAGGAAGCAACAGATTCTGTGAGGACTGGATGCATGCTTTTGTGAATGGTGCTGAAGGTGGAAATCCGTTTCTCTTCCTGCAGATTTTGGAAAACTTTAAATTGAAGGTACCTGTTCATGTAGATTAAAGACTTGGAGAAGACATCAGGGTTACTGAGGGAGCAAATACTCTTTTTGCAGCAAAGAAAAGTTTTAGGTTACTTATGATGTCTATACATCATTAACTGATTAACTCTGAAGTTTGAGGACTGGCTTACTGTAGTTGACATGACCAGAACGTAAAGTAGTGTGAAAGTTTTTTCAGTGAGTACTCCAAAGGCATTGTCTCATATTTAAAATAAACTCCACTTTTTCTTAAAATACTGTTAATTTGAGCGGTGCACACACAATATCGTATAATTGGGTAACACGGATTCAGTAGTTAACACTTCTTAGGTGGTTGGTCATAATAGAAAAGGAGAGAACTCTTGATACAAGTTTGGGCATTATCAAGTTGTGGTGTCCGCACGTTTTGCATCGTTACAATAACAGTGGTAATACCCATCAAAGACAGTACTCAATTCTTACATTACTCTTGAGTAGTAATATAAAATTCCTATTGGAAATGCTTTTGCTTCTCCTGCTATTCTTCCTTCACTTTTCCATGTGATAGTATGTTTTCTTTCTATGTAGGAGGACAAGAAAATGCTCTGTTACTCTTTTCCCAGGCTATACAAGACATTAACAACCTGAAGAGGTTTATCCGCCAGGCTGAAATGAACCACTACGCCTTGTTCAAGTGTTACCTGTTTCTAAAGAACTGTGGCAGTGGAGACATCCTTTTGAAGATTGTTAAAGTAGAACATGCAGAAATGCCAGAAGCCAGAAATGTCGTGACCGTCCTTGAGGAATTCATGAGAGAAACATCAGTGGCTTAAAATTATCTTAATTATTCTGTACTGGTTTGAGGGTATTTTAAAATCCATTAATTTCTTCTGTGCAGCTTAGTTTCACTATTGCAGGATTTTTAATTTATATTTAAAAGTATTCCCTAAGTTGCAGTTTCATCTGCCTTTTCTCCTTTTTAGATAAAGCAGTATGAGCTTTTTTTAATGTATAAGTGTCAGATCATACAAACTCCTGCATAGTTTTCAGCGCGTAGCAGATTCTCCAAATGACTTGCTCCTTTTCTGAGGAAATAATGACATTTGGTTTTTACAGTCATTGCACAAAAAAACCCAAAACCAAATCCATTACCTGGCAAGCATTTCAGTGTTCTAAGTATTTTAAATATCTTTAAAATGATCATGTCTAATCATTAAGATCTGGTTACTTTTGTTTTAATATATAAAGAAGCACAAACATCTGGATAAATCATAGTAAATGAATTAATCATGTTTGTTTATAGAAGAGAACACAGGTAACAAGTCTGTAGTTAGTTTCCACGTCCTACTTTCAAATCGGCAGTTTGTTCTTCTGTTACTAGATAAACAACTTAATTGGTATGAAACAGAACTGCCTTAAGACTGAACAGAGTTTCAGAATCAGTTTGTATGTGCTTGTATGTATGCATACATACACTGGACAGACATGTTAAGTTCCCAGGCTATTTGATGAATCCCATTCTTCAGTAGTTTGCGTTGTGATCAAGACGTTCTTTGTATCTTCTTAGTACTCATTTTGCATAACTGTAAATAGGCGTATGTTTTTCAACTGTGGAGAATTAAACCTGAAAATTTTACAGATTAAATATTAACTTTAAATTAATAGAAACGTCTTCAGATCTTGAAGTAAACTAAGTTCTCAAGTTAATTATTCAGACTTTAAAACATTTCATTGTATTTCAGCAGTGAATTCTTACCCACATCATAGGACATGAATACTTGAAGAAAATCTTTGGCTACAGCTGGAATCAAAATTCACGAGGCCTCTGAGTGACCACATAAACGAGGACTATCTCTGCAAACCTGATACAAGCAAAACTCCCTGTTGCTTTCCTTTGCAGCAGAGGGTGTTTGAATGCCTAACTTAGGGCACTTGAACAACTCTCCCTGAAACAGTAACAGTCTTACTAATGCAGTTAAGTTTGACTGTTCTGCCAGTGCTGTATACTGTGATGATAAAAGTTGAACGCTTTCCTGTGACACCACTGTGTTGAACCTATAATAAGGTTTACAATAAAAGACATTCAAATCCTTAATAGCGTGCCTACATTAAATTACAAATGAGTGTTGTCCTTGATGTCTCCTGTTTAAAACCCTTTAAACACTCAATAAGACATGTCACCCTTTGTTGTTCTTGTACGTTTTTAACAAAGTTGGAGCACTGATGGTTTAGTATTTTGCCTGATCAGGGGGCAGGGAAGAGCTCAGCGCTCAAAAAAAAAAAGAAAGGTTGGACATGAAGAACAGGTCGCTGTGATCTGGTAGGAGTGTAAGAAATCGTTGCACTAGTCCTGTCCTGTTCCTTGTGCTTGCAGCTCGGTGGAGAGTTGGGCCACAGCCTTGTGGGACCAGATGTTCTACGCACTGGCCTTAATATTTACAAAGAGTAGGTCAGTCCCAGGCACAGCAATGCTGTTGGTGATAAACTTTTCCCGAGATGCAACCACAATTGCTTTGCCCCATCTTCATCCCTGGAAGTTTTCAAGAATAAACTGGCTGAAGTGCCGAACAACCCACATTACCTCTTAGCTGACCCTGTCTTGAGCAGGAGGTTGGACTAGAGAACTTCATGGTCCCTTATAACCTGAATTATCCTATTATCCCGTGACCTGTACTACACTCATTTAAACAAGATTTTTGTTCTGTTTGCTAGGTGAATTCTCATAAATCACTCTTCAAAATCCACATATTTTTAAGCTTAACTGTAAAACTTTGCTTAGTCTTGTTGGGGCTTCTCCTTTCCAAGGTAATGCATTGTTCAATATCAGTCCCACTGAATTTGTACTCTGTCACATGTGGACAGCTTCAGTCACAGCTTTTTCTGTTGCCAATTCCTTTTCCTGAATTTTCCCAGCACCGAAGGTGGCTGGCATTATGAAAAACAACTTCTTGCTTTCTGCAGCCTTTCTTTTAACATCGTCTTGCTTCTGCCAGCTTTGCAGTGACTTTGCCATTCAGTTACCTAACTACTAAACACAAGATGCTCACAAGTACACACACACACACACACGAAATAGACCCTGGTAGTTCATGAATTTGCAGGTTTTACTGGCACCTTCCCATTATAAATTCTATTTTAAAACACAAAACTAAAGGAAATTAAACAAAAGCATAATAAATAACGCAGAAGCAGCTGGTTTAGCTGCATGAATGCCTGGAGAGTACTACACACTTAACTTCCTCCAGCAATCAGCTATTCAAAGCTCAGGATGAAGCACGCAAAAGGTCAGAAGATGCTAAGATGTGCACTTAATTTGCAAACCTGAAAGATTTTTCCTGTAGTTTTAAGGGTCTGATTTAAAACCCTTTGGGGGGAAAAAGCCCAACAAACCAACCAAAAAACAAACATGCAGGATGAAGCACGCAAAAGGTCAGAAGATGCTAAGATGTGCACTTAATTTGCAAACCTGAAAGATTTTTCCTGTAGTTTTAAGGGTCTGATTTAAAACCCTTTGGGGGGAAAAAGCCCAACAAACCAACCAAAACAACAAACATGAACAAACAAACAAAACCCCCAAAAACCCAAACCCAACCAAACACAAAATCCCCCAGGCCTACGTTAAGAACGCAAGTTTAGATTTAACTGCTACAGACCTCTTGCAGTTTGAAAGATCAGGGTCTGGTTTGGTTTTTTGGGTTTCTTCCCTCTTTACCCCCAAAAGAAGGAGCATATAAAGCAATTAGTATTTCTCTTTCCAACACTTATGAGCAATGCTTACTATACAGAACATGATTGGAGCTATGGGAATAAAATGATAATGCGTTTTATGAGTGTGTGTGATCAAGGCTGAGTATCAAGGCTGCCAGCTTTTGGCTCCTTCTCTGCGACAGATATGCTGGAATTGGCAATATTTCTGTCCTTCAGGTTGCCTTCCTAAAACTATTTTTGCCAGCAAGAAAAATGTATGGTGCTAGCAGACAGTAACACTTCCTGTATTAACTGACAAAAACCGACAAAACCCACCTTACCTTCTCGCTGAAAGTCCTCGGCTACTGCATAAACAGATTTAAGTGTCTCGGAAAGCTCAGTTAAGCGCAGAAAACTAACAGCAAGAGCCGAGTCCCACATACGGTAGCAGTGATCTGCCTCCCCCTAGGAGAAACAAATCTGACAGGAACTGCTGCTAGTTACATCTTCATTTCTTTAAGTTACACTTTAACCCAATGTTTCCCAAGAAAACCACAAAATATTTTTCAAAATAAGCCTCCCCCTTCCACATTGGTGGAAGGATTTTTATTTTAGTTATCTCAAAATAACTAAATCAGTTGGATTGCAGTTGGAGGTTTGCTGCAGAACTTCCTGGATATGTTGTTCCCACTATTGATTCAAGAGACGGGAACGCATTGGCTCTGAGATTTTAAGACATTCAGTAGAGACTGATATTAAAAGAGAACAACCTTCCACCCCAATAAAAAATTTTAAACAGTCTAATGTACTTGGTTGTCAACTTCCCCGCAGTTCTGAGGTCAGTACTGCACTAAAGTGTCAGTTGTCAAATGGTGGGACAAAAGCTGAATTCCAATACAAGTCCCAAGCCGGTTCTGCATCCTTGTTACATCTCATGGAGAAGCAAAGCAGCGGTTCACTCTCCCCTTTATGACAGACACTTTTAGAGAGACATAAAAAAAGAGTTATCAATGTCATTATTAAAAGATTACATTGCAGAGCTCACACCCAATTGCTCTTTTGTTACATACTGTGTTAACTGTAGACAAACTTACAAAACTGTCTTTGAAAGTTTTTTCTTGGTTGTTTTTTGGCATGTGATGTAGAACAGCTCAATTTTATTTAAGAAAAAAAAACAAAACAGAAAACAAAAACCAAACACCAACAAAAAATTTAATGGATTCTGCACTCAAATAATATTGTTACAACAAAAATATACAGAATGTACACGATACAAAAATATTTGGAAACATACCATAGCCTCTTACCTTGCAAATATCATTTTGTTTTACTAGCCCTTAACGGGAAAGTATCATTTGTTCAGTATTTTAAGGCAGAAAATTACATTGTTTAGTGCTTTGTGTATAACACTTGGATGTGCTGTTAGCATTAGTAGCATAAGCAAAAGAAAAGCTGCATAAATCTAGCTTTATTTGCAAACTAAACAGACACTGTGGGGGAGTCAGGAGACAGTCAGTGACTAACGTATCTATTAAACTCACTGGAAATTAAGGTACTTTTGCTACTTAAATCAGGCCTAGGGAATATTTTGTGCTCTGTGTTGTAAAGTACCCTGAAACATAAATTTCCTGTACTATTACTGGCATTTCAGAAATACCTCATTAGAAAGCTTTTTCCAATTAAAAGCCAATGATTAATGGTGACATCAAAAATACATTTACCTTTAAACAAGCTTGGTTTCTGTCTTATGTGTGATTCTTTCTTTATAGAGCTGCAAAATGCACTGTTTTCCTTTATAACCAGCTCTCAGCATCAGTGATTGCAGAAGGAATTTTTGAGGTGTATCACAGAGCACTGTAGAGCAGCCACTACTATAAAAGAAACAGAACAGCAGCAAAATTCAAAGAGGCTAAAACCCCAGAGGTGCTGGCCTTTGTTCTCCAGATCTCAGTTTGCCTCCAGAGGTTGCTGGTGTTGAACTGCATCCATATTCTCCAGTTCCACTTCAGGTAAAGCCAGTGGATGGGGTTTCCAAAGCAGTTGAGCTGAGCTTGAATCTACGTAAACAGATAGACTTTGAGCTCTTTACTCACTGAAGTATGTGTGAAAGTCCTACCTGCTATCCTGTGAGACTAAATATTGGCACAAAACAGCAGCTGTCTTGTGAGGTCAGCAGATAGCGATTATTTTAGTACCAGCTCTAAATGTGTCAGATTCCATCCTTCATACCCCAGTTCAAATTGATCTAATCTGATTTAAAACATACGGGCAGTACAATCCATCAGAAGGAGCAAGGTCTTGGGACACAGAATCCCTGAGCTTTATTTCTAGTCCAGCAACCTCAGACAACAATTTCTCTGGCCTCCCCCTTCCCCACTGATAAAATACTTCCTACTGCTAAAGGAGCAAGTAGTGAAGAATCACAATATGCCACATAAGTGCTAAGATTCCTCATCGACTGATGGGGAAAAAGTGACACGAGATGTTGTCTTAAGAACTCGGCAAAAGTAAATTCATCAGCATTTTTACGACTCCTCTACACCTCACTCAGAGATTGTTTCTGCTAACCTCCTCTCCCATCACTCCATTACAACCCTCCCCCTCCTCTTTCCTGTATTATTACTGATGTGTGCAAAATTAATCTCTCCCTGTCTCCAAGCATCTAGGAATAAAAGGTGCAATTTGCAAGCCCCGTGGACTTTAATCTACCTGGTTCTCCTCCTCCTTTTCCTCCCCAGTTGTCTTAAGAACTCAGCAAAAGTAAATTCATCAGCATTTTTACGACTCCTCTACACCTCACTCAGAGATTGTTTCTGCTAACCTCCTCTCCCATCACTCCATTACAACCCTCCCCCTCCTCTTTCCTGTATTATTACTGATGTGTGCAAAATTAATCTCTCCCTGTCTCCAAGCATCTAGGAATAAAAGGTGCAATTTGCAAGCCCCGTGGACTTTAATCTACCTGGTTCTCCTCCTCCTTCTTCCTCCCCATGGCTGTCTGAGCCACTTCTCCCGCCTCTCCTGGGATGAGGGATCAGCAAGAGGCTTCGAGCCGGACCCCACCAGTGCTGTCACTGTGCTGCCGGCAGGTGCTCCTGGAGGAGCTGTACAACCAGCACCCCAGGCTCTCCCAGCCTGCATTACTACTCCCTATACCCATCCTCACCGGACCGGTGCTGCAATATACTTACTAAATGGGAAGTCCAGCACAGCAACGGCTTTTTTTTTTTTCTTCCCAAGTGTTGTGTCCTCACTCAAGGACACAAGCGTAAAATAACTTCCTCTGACATGCACAGTTCAAATCTGTACACTGGTAACAGTCCTTCCCTTTTGCTCTAGCACTGCACGTCTGTAAAGTTCAGTAGATTCACATTTTATCCGACTGATGTAAAATCCTGGCAGCAGCTGAAATAAAACCAAAACAATCACCAAAACCAGTCCCTCTGTGGACGGCTCCTTCAGGAACACGTTGCTGACTGTGACAAGTTGGAACCACAAATGAGCAGGATGGAGAATACTACGTCTCCGACATAAGCCAGCAGCTTCAAGGACATCTGGAGGTAAAAGAAAAGCCTGTTTGCTATTAGCTCTGTGGTGCTGCAACACTGTGGCACTCCTGGGTGCATTAGAAAACAATATAACTGGGTTTCCTGATACTCTGTAAAAACATAACAAGTTTTCACAGTATAATTTTAGTGATTTAAAAAAAAAATTATAAAAGCTTAAGCACTTTGCGCTGCTCCTGACTCCATGAGCTGATAGATTCTTAGCAAACATGCTCTGTGTACAACCTGCTCTATGTATGGGGAGAGATTTCAGCTGTGATGAGCACAAATGTGAGAGGGTTTCATTTCTTCACCCACAATAAATCTAGTACTGCTTTAAAGTCTGGCCTTTCTGATCCCCAGGGTTGCTTGTAGACTTGCTCAGACAGGGCATGGGGACACAGAATGGACGTCAGAAAGATGAACAAGAGTTTAAAAGAACAAGTCATAAGCTCAACCTCAGAGCCGTTTTCGACCAGTTCATGTAAACTATGCTCATCTACGGATAAAGGACCAAAGAAGGGCACCTGGATTACTCTGTTCAGCTCCCTCCTACTCCTAAGCAGAGGCAAAGATATGTTGGCCAGGGTCAGGCTGATGAAGAAACAGGTGGCTCTTGAACTTGTAGCTTGCTGCTCTGTTGGCCAGGGTCAGGCTGATGAAGAAACTTGTAGCTTGCTGCTTCACCTCAGAGCACATCACTGGCAGGCACAGAAACCTTTCCTGGGGAGAAACTGGTGGGCATTAAGTAGTTTTCAGTTGAGAAACCAAAAATAAAAGTCAATCGGTGCATACTGTACTCTGGTAAATTATAAGCAAAATAATCTGGGTTTTGTTGCAATTGAAATTTTCTACCAATATTTTCAAAGTTTTCCTAAAACTTCCAGGGGAACTCCCATTTCTGCTCACCTCTGGTTTAAAGGCATCTGTAATCAGAAAGGTTTAGCTATAGGTGAGGAAAGGAATGTCCTCCTTGCGTGTTAACCGTGCTTCTGTCAATATTCTCCTAGCTCCCCACTCTCCTGCTTGCCTGCTGCTCCCAGGGAGATGATCTCCACCACTACGAAACTCACAGCTCCTGACCTGAAACGATGCAGGCAAACTGTCATGACTCCTTTGATCTGGACCCAAACTGCAGAGATAAAATGGCATGGGGAACCAATCCCCTTCTCCAAAACGAACAGAGCTCTGACCCTTATCCCTTCCTCTTGTTCCTTGATCTGAGGGCCCATGAGCAACGTACTAGCCATGCAGAACAACAAAGGTGCAGTTGCCCTCAGAGATCCCATTCCTGTGCACAAAGGTGGCAAAAATTGTTTCTTTTGCAGGTAAGGCTTCTTCCAGGCTGTAGAAACACTTATTTTCTCCCCCCTCCCTTTCCCCGAGGCAACAGGAGTTTTACTAGTGCATACTGTGGGAGCAGAACTTCACCCTTCCAGAGAGACTTTTCCCATAAGAGGCAAAGAAGGGGGCAGCTGATAAGCACTTGTGAATGCCCCCTCTAGAAAGACAGACTCCTACTAGTTTGTGGTATCATCTGGCAGCAGCGATTACACAGCTGAGAGAATAAAGCCCACGATACAGAGACATTTTGCTACAGAGCAAACACAACTGCTACAGTGCCTGTGAGATGTGCTGTGGAAGGCTCTGGTGGCTGGTGACTGGGCACCAGAATGCAAATAGAAAAAAGGAAGAAAGGAGCTAGTCTAGAGAGACTCCTACGTCTGCTTTATCCAGACCATCAAATCAGGTGGGTAAAGGGGAGAGAAAAGGAGGGCATCCACATTCCTGGACTGTAGTTTGGCAGCTCTCTAAAGTGAGAAGCAAAATAACATAAGCACCTTACAGAGAAGTGTATCTATAAGCACTGCTTGTGCTACAGATGTTCCAGTCTGGTCCCCAGGTCCGTGCAGGCAGCTGTATGGACTGTGTTACAGACCAGTTACAGATTGCTAAAACCTGGGGTTGACCAACCTTAAAGAAAAAGGCATCATTACAACTAACTGTTGCTTGGAGCCCCTGAACGTCCATTGCCTCAGGAAGAGGCAGCCTCAAAATTTAGCAGTCACTTTAAAACCAGTTTTATCAGTTTCACAATGATCACTGTAACACCCTTTCCACTTCAGTGGGAAACCAGTGCTACATACAACCTGACTTATTCCACTGACTTCAGTGGACAGATTTGGCCCCAAATGGACTGTATGGCTGTGAAGGCTAAATAGTTCCCATCCTGCGCTGCTATAGGTGATCCTGGTCCCAGTTTTCTAGTAAGAACCTGCTGGAAGAGTTGAGATCCTTGCTAGGAGCTCCCTGCAGGCCAGGTGTTAGATCAACGTGGCCAGAAACAAAGTGAGGAGAAAACAGCACCTGATTGTCAGCTGATAAAAACACAATTGAACATTTGCCCTCCTTTTCTCCACCCCTCAAAAAAGAAACCCCAGTCACACACAAAGTGAGGAGAAAACAGCACCTGATTGTCAGCTGATAAAAACACAATTGAACATTTGCCTCTCCACTCTCCACCCCTCAAAAAAGAAACCCCAGTCACACACTCTAGCCACAGCAGGAAAAAAAATAATTAAAATCAAGTGAAACATGCACAGTAACAGTCACCTCTGGCTGGGTGTCCACAACACTCTAAGAGTTCCCAAGGTTTATAGTGCAATTTCATTTGACCTGTAGTTGAAGACCAGTCTCCATCACTTTGGGTGATCAAGTTCTGCTGATTCCTTTGAAAGATGCATAAGACAGGTTTCATTGTAGGCTAAAATACCTTAGGAACCATTCAAGTAATTAGACAGTAGCACTGGTATGGCTGAACAGTCAGATGTGTGCGTAGAAACCAAACCCAAGCTGCCTTGTGAGTACCATGCGAGTCTCTAATTAGTAAATGTCTGCTCTTTTTCCCTTTTAGTGTTCAGTAACATTGAGGAGATTTGTTCAACAACTGGCCATAATACCAGCACTGACCTGGAAAATACAAATATCTCATACAAAATATTGATGTGTGCTAACAAACCAAGTGATAAGTGCCCAGGTACAAGCTGCCCAATGGGAGCCCTGGCAGGGTCCAAGCCAGCCAGTATTACAGTACCTGCTAGATATGTGAACAAACTGATCAGCCCATTCTTTCATGAGATCTTTAAGCATCTCCTCCAGCACACACTTGTGTTCAAAAGAATTATCCTCCCCTATGTTAAATACAAAAATAGATCCTCCATCTTCATTCATTTAACATAGCTGACAGATGACTTCCGCTCTCCAGTTTTCTGTCCCATGTTTTCAAGGAGGGGGAGGTAGCTTTAGATCCAACAGGCTGTAGGCAAAAATGTTCCAGAAGATGGCAAACAAGACAAAAATGACATAAATAGAAAGGAAGATCCACCATAAAGTCTGATCTTGGAGTCTCTGCTCATAGTTCCTCAGGACAATGACACCAAGGGTGATTCCAACCATCACCCCTCCCAGGTGAGCCATGAAGCTGGGGTGTGGGCACGGTGGGTAAGCGGAGGGGTGGAATCGCAGCCACACGGCTCTTCCAAATTCAAAGCTCACTAGAACAAAGAAGGAAATAGAAATTAATTGCCTAGGTCTATCCCTTCTTAAGTCCATCTTGCAGGCAGCACTGCATCCCTGAAGAGACGGAGAGGGAGAAACTGCCCTGTACGGTGAGCATAGGGAAGCTGGGAAGCCATGGCTATGGAAGGGTTGCGGCGCACAGACATGAGGTCTCCCCAGTGGTTGGGAAGTGGTCTGGGTTTGTGGGAGTGTAGGCAGGTGGGGGAATATTCACCTTCCAAAACTTATACCAGAACCATAAAAAAAAAAGTGAGTTAGACTTTGAAGACAATTGTCTGTGATGAATACACGGCCTAGTTTCCCTTATCGTGCCACCCTAGGGATATGGCTGGAAGATAATTCATTAATGTGTGTATAATGCTGTTGCCATCCCAGATAGGAAGTGCTCTAGGAAACCTGAGAATTATAATTATGAAAGCATTGCTTGTTTGCAATTTCAAAGATGAGACATTTAAGTCCCAGGTCTTCACAAGTGCCACAAGCTACAGATGCTGGCTAACAACAAATCCTCATTTACAAATGTTTGTGTTGAAAGCCAAAACCTGCATTTGAGAGTGATGTGGTTTCTGCTGCCAGAAGGTCCAGCTGCAAGTTCTACCAAAACTGCTGCAAAGTCAAAACTCTCTGAATCAGCATGAACTCTTATGACAGGGACAAACAAAACAGGATTGCATGTGTGCCAAGTATTGCATGATACTTACTACAGATCAAGGCAACAGCCATGCGCAGCAGTTTGAATTGGCACTTCATTCCTGACCAGTTCTGGAAAAGAGACAAGGAAAACAAAGCGATGCTGCATGCAAACCTGGAGGGATTTTGCATTCAGATCTGCACTGGAAGACCATCAAGGACGACCATCCCTTGAAACAAACCCCTTTGCCACCTGGCTGTGAACTCTCCACTCACCACACCAAAACAACAGTTCTGTCAATCCCAGAGAACATAAACATAAAGGATAAATTACAGACATGTCCAAGTTATGGACAGTCCGCAACTTCTTTGCCTGGCAGTCTTACTGACTTTCCTTGCCTGAGATCCAGTTGGTGTAGCGTGGTCCTTGGCTGGCCTTGCCATTCTCCATTCTCCAGACAGATTAATTTTTAACATATTAGTATGATGTTTCACCTTAAATTCTGACTTATGAAAATATTTGAATTTACATACCCTGCAAAACCCTGTTGTATTAGGCCACATCAAATAAAATTATGTTAAGTAGGACCTAGGATTCAACACAAGCATCATTCTGGTTAACATCACACAGCTCATCATGATTCACCTGGAAGCCCAACACTGTCACCTGTCAGGCAATTTCTCAGTGCATTCAAGCCCTGCTGCACTTTTCCAGTGCTACTGCCTCTACCTCAGGCTCCCTGAAATTCTGCAACTCAGATCTTCTGCAGAGCACACACAAAAAATAAAGACCTCAATTAAAGCATACCAAGGAAACAGTGCCGTAAGAAAGCCTGGATTTGGCCTCCTCTGTCTTCAGGCTTGGTCATTAATCAATATAGTGGAATAAGAATCTCTGAATGATAGTCAGAAATCCTGGGAGAAATGTTTAAATTCCTCCTTTTCCACTTGCACCAAATTTCCAAGCAGAAAAAGAGATCATGTTCTGGGGAACTGAGATGTATGACAACACTATTATTAAGCGACTAAATGAAATTTTGCCTGTTGAAAGCAGTATGAGATACCAAGCTAGCCAATAAAAGGCTAGCTGAGGAATTAAAAAAATGCTTGTAAACTCTTCAGCCTAACTTTAACGGCACCCAGTGACTTTTCAGCCTGCTGAAGAAATATTCTGCAAACGTATTACACACATACACTGCAATACATAAATATTCAAGTTTTATGTGGGATCTGTCCATACATCACTTCTGTGACTGCAAAAATGCAGTCTCTACAAAGTAAGTAACTAATTTTCTCTCTCCACTGAGACACCTAACCCAGTCAGAAGGCTCTAAACTCATGTTGATTAATACTGTGCTGCTTCCTTCAGTTTGCATTTCCACGTAGCTGTTTTGAATTCCTCCCCTCACTCTTTTCCTTAGGGTGACATGCTTTATTGCTTCCCCCTGTTGGTTATTTTATGTATTTAATCCCAAGAATATTTATTTTTACAAGCAGGAATGTTTTCATTTCCGTCGGTTACCAGGAGGCACAAGGGAACAGAAGATTCAAGAGACCCTCCCTGCAACAGTCCCTCCCCTTCCCAGCATGCTCAAAGCACCTGTGCAAGACTGTGCTTTACCAGCAAATGGCCAGCGTGTCTTTCAGCATGCAGGAGCATCACATCTAGATACTAAGTGAGCAGAGAGAGAACAGGGGGGAAAAAAGGAGCATCACATCTAGATACTAAGTGAGGAGAGAGAGAACGGGGGGGGGGAAAAGGCAAAAAAACTCCAATAGAATGGGAAAGGCAGTAAAAGTAATTTCAGATGAGAAAAGAGGGAGCAGGTAATAGAGAAATATAGATGCTAAGGTAGCAATTGCTAAATAGATTTGGAGGAGACCAACGAACAGTGAAGTGACAGGCCACTTTGCAATGTTTTAAGAAGTCTAGTAAGGCAATTGGTGAAGACTCTCCACACAACTCTGGCAGAGCCTCTTCCTCTAAAGCAAACCAAAATTTCCTCCAATGTCTGCCTCTGACCCTGTGAATCTCGGTGTGAAGAAACCCTGTGTCTGCATTACCACACTGTGAGATAGAGGAAACTCCCTCCTGCTGCTGTTGGCCCAGTAGCAGGGAACACAAATCATACTGAAAATACCTATATATAAGGAGGCATTTCGCCAGTAGAAACCCTGTGGTATAGGGGTAGCCCCTCTCCTCCATTCCCTATCTCTCTGCCAGACACTCAACTGTCCTGATTTGGCAACAGCCCGCAGCTCATTCACGCTCTGAAAAGCTTGAAGACAGCAAAGGAGACCTATTCTGCTCAGGAAACCACTCACTTCCCTGCTCCCAGCTGCTACAAAGGCTGCCTGGAACAGCACCGTTGTGGGTTGCAGCCCGAGCCTGCTGACTTCACCGCATACAAGCATTAAATACAAGGTTTTCTTTTAGGCTTGACACAAGTACCACCACACACGCACATGTTTTCCAGCACCCATATAACAGACCTTCTGTCTCTAGTGCAGCCAACTCGCATTATCTTCCCACTCAGACCCCAGAGGAGGCCGCATTACCATAATTTTTATGGTTATTCTGCTCTGACATTGCTGGTACAGGACAGACATGCAGCCCTGTACCACCACACACAAATCCTAATCGCAGCAAAATCAGCTCTCTCAGCAAAGCCGGTTTTGCCCAGCGGTCAGCTTAGGAGTCACACAGGCAGATATGTTGGGCTTTGCCACCACCTAGCTGAGGACCTTGGATGAGCTCCTGTTTCCAGGTCTTAGAGGAACGACGATGCTGGTATTTACTGATCTTTGTGAAGTACTTCATTACGTGAAACGGCAAAAAGATGCATCACTAGTACGTCCAGGGTTCAGCTTCAGTCTGGGTTTTACAAATGGAGATAAGGGATATTCCACACACAAATCCACCAAATACTAAATTTCCTTAGGTACCCGCTAACATTACATGGCACATGCAGACAGAAACAAGTCTGCAACTTCTGCAGAGCCAGTCAGCTCCTCCTTTTCCAAACACTTGTCAGCCCCTGCAAGGAGAGCTGATAGCCTGGAGTACACTGATAAGTCTTGGATTACCAGCATCTTTGGCTTCTCCTGGCAAGCTGCCAGTCATCAGGATACCAAGCCACCAACTGCAGTCTAACATTCCCATTCCAGGACCACACCACTGAGACAAGACTCTTAACTGGGGCAAGCTCTGAATGACCAACAGCTGGCTCAGGCCCTATTTCCAATCCCTTTGGGCCACCAGGCCTGGCTCACTTCTGAAGAGGTTAGACAGTCATTCTGGTACTCACCATGACTATATTTGCCAAGTGAGCTGAGACAAGAGCATACACGCCTCCAGAGGAACCCACCACAGGCGCAGTCATATCAGCTACTGACACTGCCAGGGACCCTGGAAGAAAGAACAAGGGTTTGTGACAATTGCCAGCCGAATAAACACACTCTCTCCTACCCTACATTGCTGCTACTGTCCATTTTGTGCTAATTGCTGCAGGTCAGTAATATACAGATAAAGAGAAGCAGGGGTGGGAATCAATCGACTTGTGAAGCTAACTCAGTCCTGAGTACTGTCAAGACAGCGACTGATTGATTCTTTTGCACCTAACTTTAAAAGCAGCCAAGCAAGGCAGCAACGTATCTTCAAACCTATGCTGCAAAAAGGCACTTACACCCTGATTAAAATAAAAAGGAAGCAGGAAACAGACAAATGTCTGTGTCTTGTTCCTCACCCGAAGATAAAATAGAAGTAGCTCCCATGCTGGCAAGACAAATATTTGCATAGTGAGAAGGAACTGGGGACTTGTAACTTAGCACAGGCCTCTATCAAAGCACAGCCTGTTACATATAAAACTTCAAAGTAAAACGAGCTAAAAATAACCTGGATGGAGGCAGTAAACACAAGATAGCAAAATGACAGGTCAATCACATAAAGGTACCACTAATAACAATACATCCAAACATAGACCCTGCTTCTTCTTATCCCAGTTGGAGGCTTGGATCTGCTCAAAGCTCCTTTCATTTAAATTACTCTTAAAGTTTGCAGAGAGAGAGAGAGAGAGACAAAGGCAGACTTGGTGTCACAAGGCAAGGATAATGAAGATCTTTGTGATGAGCGGGAATGGAGAAAAAACACAATGGCAAATCTTGAGAGAGTCCTCGGTAGTACAGAATCCAACAAATTTCTTTGCTAATTGCTCAGCTGATTCTGGGTCAAGAAAGTGCTGAGGTTCCACCAGCCAACTCTGCTGACAGCTCCCTCCTTCACTGTATGGCCCTGAGACTTCTCAGCTCCTTAAACACTGCCATTAAGGAAAAAGTTAATGAGAAGTTAAGAAAGGAGTAATGAGAACTTGCAGTTAAGTCCTTGGACACCGCACTGAGCATTACCTTCGGTCTCTCAATCCCAGTCTCAACATGTCTTCTTAGTAAAGCCAGAGAAAAAACCATAAAAGCTCCCTCCTTCACTGTATGGCCCTGAGACTTCTCAGCTCCTTGCTCCTTGCCCTTTGGGATTAAGTTAATGGTTAGTTAGGAAAGGAGTAATGAGAACTTGCAGTTAAGTCCTTGGACACCGCACTGAGCATTACCTTCGGTCTCTCAATCCCAGTCTCAACATGTCTTCTGAGTAAAGCCAGAGAAAAAACCATAACAGTAGAGAGTGGCTGTTGTGGCCCATGTCTACATTTTACTGCTTATTCCTGATTGTTTAGGAGCTGTGTTATCTTTATATTGCCAGATCCTCAGCATAAGTATGCCTCTTTCTTTCTCTCCTGGCACATGTCAAAGAATAAAGCATGTTTAATAATTGGCTAACAACTCAAACAAGTAAGGGTATCATAGGATGCTTTCTGCGTGGGACTGTCCAGTCACATTTGTAGTTCCACCTTGCACTAAGAAGGGAAGTTTTCCCTTTCCATTTGGCACTTTCTTCCACAATTTATAGGTCATAAGGTGTGAGAGGCAAGTCTATGAGGATGTGGCAGCTTGTCTGAGAAAAAAATGGGATCATTTGTGTAGCAGAAATGAACCAATAATGCTAGATGGGCTAGTGAGCCTCACTCAGGCACTGGCTACAAGCCTCCAGAGCTCTGGGCGTTCAGCCCAGCCCAACACCCAATAAAACCTGCCTCTGGCCCTGCGGACCCTGCCAGCCAGTCTTTGGCCACAGGAATCAGAGGCAGCCGGCAACTCGCAGTGCTCGCCTGGGCTCAACTGCAGCAGATTCTATGCTAACTTGCTTCGCTTACCTGGCACAGATGTGCTATGTGTATTTACACATATATAAATGAAGCCCCAGGGTTTGGTACACAGGTCTATGTAGAAAAGCTTATGTCTGGAAAGTTGCAGATTGGAGACCACTTTAGTGCTTATTAAAATAACAGGCAAGGGACAGTGGAGCTGGTCTACTGACTCCTTTCTCTGCATTAAATAGCGTGGTGTTTGTACCATGCCTAGTCCTTTGTCCTAGTCCAATTCTTCTTTCCACAGTCTCTCTCCTGGAATGTAGGATTTATTAGTACCCAATGCAGCCCATTTTACAAAGGCTTTATCTGCTCATTATGGAAAAAATAAAATTATGTAGCTGGAAAAAAAAAAATCACCATAAATCTTGAACTAAGGCAGTCAATTGTTGTCTGAGTTCCACTGTGAAGCCCTTGGCTGTTCTCACACTCTCCTCCTGTTTTAATGAGATGTTGATCTATTGTCAGCTAACTTCCATCACCTCCAAACTGCTGGAAATGCCAAATGTAAACAAAAGCAATACAGCACAACTAAAAATCAATCAAACCCCATGGCTTCATGATTAAATGAATTTCCAGATTCGTGTGCACTGCTCACAACCTACAACTGAATACTTCTTGCTTACTCAAGCTGTAGAAAGCAGACAGCACAGGACAAATGGAGGAAGAACTGGCACAGGACCTGGAAAAAAAAAAAAGACTCTTCATGCAGGGATGCCTGTGATGCCACCTTTCTTCTAGGTCTCTGCGGGACACAAGAGGAAAGGAACAGCATGACCTCCACACGCAGGAAGACCATCTAAAGCAAGGCTATTTTAAAGAAACAGGTTGTTGGTGCTTTTTTAGCAGGTGTCCTACACAGAGCCTATGGCTAGTTAGAAACAGATGTCAAGTTGTAGCATATTTCCCATTTCCAGCCTCCAAAAGAATTTCAATGCACAGAAGATCAGTGACTGCTCTTCTCCTGCACCCAAATGCCACAAAACATTTATCCTACACAAAAGTCAGCACAGACCATTTTCAGATGCTTCTCTATCTGGGGCATCCAGAGGTGTCACCTACCTGCCACAACTCCAGCAACGTACACAAAACTGATCCTCGCAGCTCCATGCACCATTTCCAGGGGAACCCCAACCAAGAGCTGAAGGACAACATTGAGTCCAAGGTGTTCTATCCTGCGGCAAGGAAAAACAACAGTTGTCCTCTTTTCTAACTCTGTCTCCCTTCTCTACCCTTGAGACAGAGATATCTTGGAAAGGAAATCAAATAGCACCTGTTTCATGAACATAGATTGTAACACTGAGAAAAACAATGGTTCCTGAAAAAAATCAGACGGAGAGCTGCAATGTTTGTTCCCTCCTTGCTGCTCATTATCTTTTTCATATCCACCCAGGTCCTTTCAGCCAAAGACCTCATAGCATGTTTGGCTCTTAGTGAGACTTTTTTTTTTTTTTGTTTGAAGAAGTTAAATGACTTGTCCAAAAAAGCAGCAAGATGGCAGCAGAGCCTGGAACAGAAGCCAGAAACTTGACCTGCTTCTCTCTTCTCCCTCCTAATGATACAGCCTTTCCCTGCATATATTACACTGCCATGATGAGGAGTGGATATTAAGTCAAAAGCAAGGTAAGCCTAGCAGTCCCAAGACAGTTGCCGTTTTCTTGTGACACATAATGCTGCTTTATTGTTTGTGCTGTCTGACCCTCACCCTTTTCTGCTGTGCCTACTTCAATATGATCATGGTCAGAACGGGAAGCAGAGGGCATTTTCATCTCTGGTTAGGTGCCCAGTGAGACACAAGGTATATTCACTGAAGCCCTCTGTTCACCTACCCTTGTTCCCTTTACAGTCAATAGCAAAACTCCTGCTGAACACGATGGGAAAAGCTCAGTTGAGACTAGTCTTTCAGAAAACCCCACTGCGCACATCAGGACGTGCAGGACCACTTGCAGCCTAGAGGTAGAGAGTGTGACAGCTAAGATGTGCATATTTGATAAAGACTCCAGTGCAGCAGTTTTCTCCTGTGCTGAATCAATAGTTTCAAAGCAAGTTATTTGTTGTTCTAATCAATAGTACTTAACAAAGCTGTCTTGCTACTTTTCAAAGCTCTATACAGATATTTACGCATGCCTTTGCCATCTGCAGGATCTTCCAGTGATGTAACAACAGCACCAAGCCCCTGAACAGGGTCCTTCTCAACCGCACAGCACACTGTGCTAGTGTTTGAGATTTACCCTGGGCTCACAGGGCTGTGACCTTGCTGAATGGCCACATCACACTGGACCCAGGGATATAGTGCTTTCTGTATGAAGAGTGCCCAAATCTGCTTACAAAGTAGGTGGACGTAAATGACACAGTGGTACACTTAACACAGAAGGCTAGCATCTTTTGGGGGAAAGAGTGCAAAATAGCTAATGCATTGAAAATCTACATCCTATTTTATACAAGAAAAGGACTGCTCACAGACAGCCACTAGCAATCTTTGGTTTAAGTTACATGCATTTTTCACTGTTTTGGTCTTTCTTCATGTTACCATAGCAATTTCCCATATACATCAGAGAAAAATGCTGATGGTGAGATGCAGTAATGACAGAACAGTCTCATAAACAAGAATTTAAAGTTGGACCGGAAAAAACTGCTAGAAATGATGCTGCAGGAAACAGTCCTTTCCGGATATCTTAATAGGTTTGTTTCCAATGAATTTCTCTCCAAGGATAAATTTCTCTCCTGCACGAGACACTCAGCACTGCAATTTGTCATCATGGGAAACTGCTGCATGTAACTGAGTGGTTTTATTACCTTGCTCAAGACTTTTGAAGCCACTGGGCATGGGCATATTCTGACACCCATTCTGATCCTGCATGTTCACAGAACTTAGGAACTAAATTAGGAACAACCAGCAAAGGTCAAACTGAGATCGCAGAAAAGAGTCAAAGCATCCAAGTGCCCTTTTACAGAGGGGAGGGAAGAAGCTTTGGCTGGCACACAGTCAGCGTCACGAGGCGGCACCTGATATTTTCACACAAAGCACTGGGTCTTATTTTTCAAAGGAATCTTTTGTAAGAGCTCGGCAAAGTTTATCGTAGACTCTAAAGTGACTGCCCTGATTCACAGCTGTTCTTAAAAGACTTTCCAGGAGCAATCCCGTTTGCTTCTCCTCCCCATCATGCTAAGAGCTTTGAAGGCTCCACAGTCAATAAGCACCCATAAAATATAATTAGCCTTTGCCAGTGCTGAATGCGTCATTCTTGAAATGACAATTTCATTGATTTATTAAAGACTTTCTCCTTCCCCGGGACCAAACAAATGGGACTGAGCATCAATGCAAGTCATTTGTTATGGCAGTGTTACAAATGCGTGGGCCCCAGATAATCAACGTCTGCTTTCCATGAAAGCAGAAGGGCAGAATTTACAACTTTGCCTGCCTTTTCAGCCCTTGACAAAGCTCCCTCCATCAGGACCAACACACAGCCCGTGCATTTTTGGAATCTTTCTAGAGGCACAGCCAGCCAAGCCTTAGCAACTGCTGTCTTCTCTGACACCTTCAGGCTGTCACTTGCTCTTCAAAAAAACAAGCTGAGTGCACTAAATTAAGGAGCAGTCCACATTACCATTTTAAAGTCTCAGCTGGAAGCAGGATAACAATAGACCCCATGGCATTGTGTTAGCCTCTCATTTGAAAACGAAAGGAGAATGATGGGCTTCCACTAACAAACGTTATTACCTTTCCAAGATTTATCTGTTCTCCCAATATGAAAGGAGCTTAACAGACAGAAGTTAGCAATAAATGAACATTTATCCTAACTCCAGATACTGCAGATAAATCATGGGTTTTATTGTTCCAGCGGGACTCTCCATTGTTTTGAAGGCTACGTAGCTAAAGAACTTGGAATCCATCACAAAAACAATGTGTCTCCTGCACACCACCTTCCCCACTCTTCATCTCTGAGCCAGCCACAGATGTGAAATAATCCTGGGATATTTTTCAGCCAATAAGCGTGAAGAATGCCAAAGCACTGCCAGCTACAGGACCTTGCACAGGTTAGGAAAGCATGCCACAGGTGATACTGGAAGACATTTAAATGCTGCAAAAATTGTCCTTGTGCAGGTGCTTCTCTTCAAATGTATCCCAAAGCAATCTGCAGTTACATAAGTGATATAGTAGAACACCACCACCACCAGAAGAAAACCCAGATACAAATTAGCTAACAGTAGTTAAAAATGAAGTGTTTCTTCCTTTTACAAGCCCAGTTTTCCCCACATCGTCAGCGATGGAAACTTCCAATTCTCATTTTACATAACCAGCCTCATATCTAAGCCAAATAGTCTCCACTTGCAGGTTGAAACTGGTATACAATGGACTTTTTGGAGGGATTTAGCATGCGGAGTACAGATGTTGCCACGTTCAGAAGTTTCATCTATAAATTTTTTCCTACTCTCCCCTTGGGTGGAGTCTGTTCTGTCCTATGATTTTTATCCAGAGATCTGGGGCACATCTTGTGCTCAAGGGCAATTACACACTGAGGCAGTTATTCCATGGCAGAAAAGAGACATAAGCATGTCTTCCATCAGAGACATGGAAAAAGGAAAAGATCAGCTTGATCTTCCTGGCCTTTCATAGGAGAACATTGACTGATGGGAATATAGGCTTTCTATTTAAGAACAAAGGGTCTTTATCAAGTTTCAAACTATAAACTACTGCTAAAAAGCTTGTTGCTGTGATTTTTCAATGACAGAATTAAAGAAAATTGCAATTATCTGCCAGGAATGTGTGAAGATAACGATCTGAGAAACTACTCAGAGGTGGTAGAGTGTTTTGTACAGGGATGAACTTTCCTGTGACACTCACTCATCACCATGGCATCACAAACATCACACAATTAAGTCTCTTTGAATCTTGGGAGGACTAGCACAGTCGAGAAGCACAGAGTTAGAATCCCCACGCCTTATATTCTCTTCCCAAGTCTGCTACATACCTCCCATAGGATGAAGGAGGATTCATTTTACTGTGCACCTTCATTTTGCATTTTGCGTTAGATGGACCATTCTCTGTCCATCTGGTCAGACGAGATTGTCAACTCTTCAGGAACACTGGTGTTTGTACAGTGCGTACAAAATGGGAGTTCAATCTTGACTCGGGCTTCTAGGCATTATCTCAGTCCCTACAGAAGGGACAACATTACTAAGTGATGACATACCACAGGCACAGGGAATTTAATTGACTTTTCCAACCTCAACTAGGAAATCTAGCAAGAATACACCATGTAGTTTTTAAATACCAGTCCACCATCTTTGCAGACTTGTTCTACCACTTGCACAGCTCCTCTAGAGGGGCACTGGGCTTCGAACTGGTGAGTTTTAGGAAGCACACACTGGGAAGCGCACAATAAGAGGGAGGTGTGGTCCCAGCACCGCTGGGGAGAAGAGCAGCATCTGTTAAGTTCCTTATGTTGCCTCCTCCCTTCAGAGAGCTGCGAAGGTTTGCGCCTCATTGCCCAACACTCCACAACAGCTTCAGATTTTTATATGCAATTTATAATTGATTTTTAAAAATTTATTTCTGAGCCGATTCTGTCAATTCCTCCTCCTCCCTCTCTCAGGGGAACCTGAACTGTAGGCAATCTCCACAGTTTGTAAGTACTCACCCTGCATGCATGAATATGTAGGTTAGGTACCTCCAAGCCTGAGCACGGAGCTGAGGATGGTAAAGTAATGTGTTCTTCAGGTATAAGGGGTGGGTGACTTGCAGCACAAATCTGTCTAATACCACTCCGTTGTAAAGAAAAAAGGCAACCTAAAAGAGCAGGGAGATTCCTTGGTTAGCAAATGCCTTCTCTCACTGAAAAGCACTTTGTAGCTCAAAATCATGGCGAAGAAAGTCAAATGTACAATAATTTTTCTCCCATTTGACAGCTTCACACAGCAGGAGTTCCCTGTTTTGAGGAACCTGCAACACATTGGTATAACTATACATGGCTTTCTGTAACACACCAGCCACTGAATCAGAGGAACTCAGCACCCTACTGATCAGTGCCATATTATATATCCTTCTCTGTGCTTATTCCAGTACATCACTCAGCAACTGTGCAAAGATCTCATATGGGCAACAGATGAGCAGGTCAGAATATTTAATCCAGTTTCTCTTCCCTCCTTTTTCTCTCCATTCCCAGAACAGATGTAACCGTATAGGAATTTTCCTTCTAATTCCATTATTTGAATTACCAGTTTCCCTAGAACTGTCCAGATTTGCACTCCTCAAAAAGTTTTGCTATAATTTCCCAAATTCTGTAGTTTCATATACAAACTGTTTCAATGACTAATAACCACGCTTGCACACAGATAGGATCACAGTCTACACTTAAACATACAGGTAAGCCAAAATGGATATCAGCTTTGTGCTTGCCCTTGTCTGGGTCTAAACGAGTCCCACTCTAGCCCTTGATCATGTCCCAGCAAAGCCTTTGGCAGTGTGGTGTGGGTTCCCAGAGAGAGGGAATTAAGGTACTTGCCTCTACAAGAGTGATGGTAATCATGAACCAGGGTGGAGGGCAGCAGGTATAGCTGTCGTAGTACCACTTGCGGTCTATCTCTCGTGGAAGGGTCTCGTATGCAACATGCCGGATCAGCCTCTGCGAAAGGCTCAGCCCTGTTTCCTCCAGCAGTGCCTTGCTGCACAGCCTCCTGTTCCCCTGAAGGATGGCTTGGCGGAAACTATTCGACCTTTTGTTGCTCATCTGGGTAAAAAGAAAAGGAAGAAACCATGAGGACAAAGCAAGGCCTGGCACAACCATCTGGGGAGATTAGTGCCAGCTTGGCAGCACCAGATCCAGGCAGGCAGGAGAACCAACACCAGGCTGGAGCTTTAGAAACCACGTTTCAGGATGATCACGGGGTGACCTATATGGGGTGCGAGGAAAACCAGCGTCTGCTATTACGAACAGGGCAGAACACTGGCAAGGCAGAGCAGAGGCTGCTGATGCACCTGGCTGAGCTCTCTGGCCCATTCTCCAGCCCTCTATCCACTGTCTTCACCATTGATTATCACGGTCCACATTCTTGTGTCCTCCTTCCCTCAGCTCCCCCCGCTCTATCACACTTCCCTGCACTTGCCATCTCTTGGGGCAGAAAATTTATTGAATGTAGCAGCAGGTACATTCACAGCATCTAACCCTTGTGTTCTGGTCCTTGTTAGCAGGAGTTAGCTCTGGGCAAAGAAAATTATCCCTTTGTGCAAAACAAAACTGCACAAGCAACAAAACTACAAACTAAACTAGTGTACAGGCTATCTTAGCTGCTGTAAACTTCCAAGAGGAAAGGATTTCTTCTTCTAAAACAGATATCCTCAGAGGGGGAGGTTTTGAGATGGTGCAGGCTTTGGAGGATACAGCTAATTTTTATATGCATTATCATCTTACATGCACAGAATTAGCTATCTATCTTTTTGAGCACACACTCTCCCAATTTGGATGCATAATTAAAGCAATTGTGTTTGCAAATTAGGCAGATGGAATTTTATGCCTAGTCTGCTTGGTGGGGGGGGGAAACAGGTCTGAAAGAGCTTGCTCCAAGATTTGGATAATTGCTAATTAGCCCTGATGTCAAACAAATCTGCTGCATTAGAGTCACTATCTGTACTGGCTGAATCTTTGGCAGGAAGGCTTAAAAGGCTAACTATGCATAAAGACCACTGTAGGGGGACCTTTTACAGTAAAAGGCAGCAAAGTGAATATGACAGAGTGGTCTTTCTTCTGAGAGAACTGCTAGCTGATCTCAGAAACCACCAGCATCTTCAGTCTCCCAGAACCAAATAAGAGATGACGTTCAACAGCGCTGGCTTCCAGTTGTCTTGGATCACGCTGGTTTTGGCTAATATCCCAAAGAAAGCAAAGCCCAGAGCTTGTGCTCTCAGTGCCCAGGCTGCCGGGTAATTGTTCCAAGCTGGACCAAGCTGCTTAAAACACAGTAATCATTGCAGGGAGCCACCTCCTGTTAATCACTGGAGGAAGGCGAAGGGGCCATCTGAGGTGATGGCACTGCAACCCATTCTCCCAGCAGCTGCCCATCCCTCCTTAGCCTTCCGTTTGCAGCCTGTCCCTCCAATGTAGAAATTCATCGACGTGAGCAACATTGACAGGCAACTGATCTATTTCAAGTTTTTTAAATCTGGGGAAAAAATTTGTTGTTGTTCATTTTGAGTTGTTTTAGTGAGAAAAAAGTTTACCCTAAAAACTCTTTCTCCTTTCTTTCGCTCATTCATACATAAAACACTTGTAAAAGAACACTCCTGGCAAAAGAAGCAGAAAAGGCAAAGAAGAAAAAAAAAAAATCCGTCCACAAAAATCTTTCTTCTGGTCTTCTCAAGTCTATCATCCAAAAGCTTTTATCTAAAACTAGGGAAGATGAGGGGAAAAAAATTCTTGGTGATCTTCTGTTGCATTAAGAAAGCCCACTCATATTGAAAGACAGTATTTTCATAGAGAAACATCCACCAGGTGTAAGGCTTTCCTTAGCATTTGTGAGACGCTTTTTGGTAGGTGACAGACATACCTCTGTTTCAAAAGGTACCTTTAGCCACTTAATGACCTCACTGTGTCCACAGAAGAAAGCTTCGCTCCGGGTTAGTTCTGAGCAGCCTGTCAGAGATGTACTGTGCATGCTCCCTCGCAGAGTTCGTCCTGTTCTCTCTGGCTTTGCTCCTCTTGTGGATGAGAATAAATTCAGACTGAAACTATGAATTTGCCTGCTACAGATGAAGATACTGGACAGTTGTCTGAAGCTGCTGATATGCTTATTCTAACTACAGTGGTACGTGTGATTTTCCTGTCTACTGCAAAACGGTCAGCGCTTTTCCCTGCTGCAGCACTTCTGTGGAAAATATGTTTCCAGAGTCAACCAAAGAAAATCATCATTGCAGTTCAGCATCAAGAAGTGCTGACCACCCTCAGCAGATGATGACCTCATCACTGCAGAGACTGGTGAAAGAGAGGGGCAGGAAACTCCAAAGGCTGCCGACGTTTGTGTCTGTGCTAGGCTCGTAACAGAAATTTCCTTGCGTTTCTTCAGCAGAGGATCCTAACACAGGCACCGCTGAACCCATCCGTTATTGCTGAGCATGGCAAAAAGGGACTTGCTTAGTTCAATCGCCTGAATTCAGCACAGCCCCATCAGTCCAGTGTCCTGCTCTGCACTACTGCTAATGCTGCCCAAAGAGCTCAAATAACAGCAAGGGCAGTGCAAATTCATCAGCATGATGTTTCTGAAGGTGTTCCTCAACATACTAAAAACAAAACAGAAGGGAAGGGTCTTCTTAGTTTTGTTAAAAGCAAGATATTGCACTATCACTGTGGAAGTTGCACCTCAGATGAACAAAGCCTCTGGCTCTTCTGGGGAGGTGGGAAGCTGGACCTCACAACACTAAGTGACTTGCCCAAGGCCATACGCTAAAGTTAGAAGAATCAAGGCTGCAGGACTTCTCTGATCACTAGGCTGCACTGCTTTCAAGCCCTTTTGTTCAGCAGAAAGCTCTACCTTCCTCCTCCAAGAGAGGAAAATAAACCACAGGACCTTCCACACCCCATATAGAAACTAAAATGGAAGCTCATGACAATGTGATTTCCTCCAAGGAATGATGAAAGACAGTTGTAGCTTTGTTCTCTCAATTACCTGTTCTCACACCCCATTATTTTTACAAGGTGTTCCATATTGGTTGTTTCTGGCCACATCTGGATGATAAAATGCCAAGAATTATTTAAACTGGTAATGATAGGAAAGCAGTGAATGTTGATATTACAAGAGCAAGGGAAGCCCTTGGGCAAAATGCTGATAGCTCTCTGGGGAGCACATGTGACTGCTGCAGAAAGACCCTGTATGCCTCAACACACACAACAAGGTTATTTTGATACGCTATGAGGCACTGCCCATTGGTAGCCTCTGAACAACAGGTATGGATGTATCACATCAACTGCACTTGTAAGTAGCAAGCACAGCCTCTCCCTCCTAGTTGATTTTTGGTAGACCTTCCCAGATACCATGAGATAGGCACAGAAAAACATATAAATGGATTAAGAGTTTCAAGGGTTTGTCAATACAAACAAAAGGAAATGCATGAGAAATCATTTATGGCTAACTCAGATATGAGGTCATGGGATCAAAGTGTTCAGAGATGGAAAATACCTTTGAAGTCAACTACTTACGTGGCTGGAATTCTGTCCCAGGATAGAGGGTCTACTGGGTATTAAAATTCATCAGCTCTTAGCAAAGAGGCAACAAGAAAACTGCCTGCAAATTAAATGGAGCAGGTCGTGAACTGTGGCAGTCTCGCAGAACATATGGAGATACCCAGCACCAAGCGTATTCTTCACAGATTGCAACACACCAGCAGACTGCTTGGAAGGAACGTGACTGGCAAGGAGCAAGATACTCCCTGCACCAACGACAGTAGGTGCTGTGTCAGTGGGAGCCAGATTTCAATTTACCCAGAAAATTGAAAGCCTTTGGTATCCGTAATTACAACTCTAGCTCTTCAGAGCTCTTAGCACCGACTAAACCTCCTGCCACCTCAGGCAGGGACAAAAATATTTGTCAGGCCTCCTTTAGAGCAGAGGATATAGAAAGAAGGTCCAGGTTCCCTCTAAATGCTGTAGCCTTGGCATGGTTTTACACCCAGATGAGGCAGGGACACACAGTGTCAGGAGCATACCACACGTGCTGAAAAGCCCCCACAATCCACTAAGATGTGGATGACTGGATGTACTGAGCACCTGTTAAAATTAGGCCTCTCGGTAAGATGACATCCTGCTGGTCCCCTAGCTGCAATCATTGCCCATCACACTAATGAGGAAATGATCTCCAAAGAGGCAGCACAGCTGACTGCCAGGGCTCAAGCAAACACAACAGTCCTGGGCCTACTCACATAACCCCACAGGCCTTTGGATCACGCTGTTCATCTCAAGCTAGGAGGTCATGGGCACGAGGAGAGACAGGATTAAGTCACTACTGTTGCTCTCACCAACCCTTGATGAGAAGCCTATTTTGTTCCTCAGACTGACTTTGAAAGACTCAAATCTTCCCAAACAGAGAGTCTCCCATATGGTCACAATTTGCTGACTTAATTTCGGAATTATATAATATTGGTATTTATGAGCCAAGTATTTAATCATCAGCTGAAAGAACACTGGGCCCATTGTTGGCCTGCACATTATTACGGCTCCAGAAGCTCAGGGCAGCCCACCCCACTTCTCTTCATGCAATTGATCTGGGACTTCTTTAATGAGCATGATATTAAAGCTGCAGGCAGATGGGTACAGCAAACAGTATGTGGGGAATGAAGGTAGCGGTGGGGAACACTACATTCCCTTAGTCCTTCATGCCTGCAAAAAGTTATTATGCAGAGAGAAAGAAATTTCCTTTGCAAAACAGCCAAGCTGACATGACTGGTAACCATGCACTGCCACCTCTGCCCTTTGGTATTACCATACCAAACAAAACAAGGCTTAGTGCTGCAGCTCTGCTCAAAGGACAGCCAGAAAGGAAAATTTTTTCCTACTTAGATCTGAACCTGACTCCAACACTGAAAATGTCAAAATTTAGGATAAGAGTCCTTACCATCTAGTGTGGGACAGTGCCAAACTTTGGTAAAGTACAAAGCCCTGCTTTTCTTCAGGACACATGCCAATCTAAACTAGTCTCAGATAATCTGCAACTTGCAATGGAAACTGTCCATTCCCACTGGTAG